GTCTGGGGTCTTAAAAGCCTGTGAGCAGCCATCTAAGATACTCCACTGGTCTCACCCCTTCGGGAGCAAGGGAGAAAATGAAGAAAACAAGATAAAAGGAAAAGATTAGCCCAAAGGACTAATGGACCACAACTATCACGGCCTCCACCAGACTCAGTACAGTACAACCAGATGGTACCCAGCTACTACCACTGACTGCTCTGACCAAGATCACAACAGAGGGCCCGGACAGAGCTGGAGAAAAATGTAAAACAAAATTCTAACTCAATAAAAAAGGGACCAGATTTACTGGCCTGACAGAGACTGGAGAAACCCCAAGAGGATGGCCCCCAGACACCCTTTCAGCTCAGTAATGAAGTCACTCCTGAGTTTCACCGTTCAGCCAAAGATTAGCCAGCCCAATAAAACAAAATAAGACTAATAGGGCACAACAGTCCAGGGACAAGGACTAGAAGGCAGGAGGGGACAGGAAAGCTGGTAATAGGGAACCCAAAGTTAAGAAGAGGCATTGTTGACATGTCGTGGGATGGTTAACCATTGTCATAAAACAATGTGTACTAACTGTTTAATGAGAAACTATTTGTTCTGTAAACCTTCATCTAAAGTACAACAAAAAGAAAAAAGAGTATCTAAATTCTTTTAAATGATTAAAATGTTTAAAAATAACTTTTAGGTTTTTTCTGATTATAAAAATCAGAAAAACAATGATTGCTTATGATAGTTAAAATACTAAAATGTCAAAGTAATTATCCTGAGCATCATATATTTTTTAATAATTTATATAATTGGTATCAATTTATATTATCCCAAAGACATATTCTGAAACTGAGGTTGTTTGTATTTAGAAAAAACAAAATGCCAACAATTTAATTATGGTTTTTTGCTTAGGCAAGTTCTAAAAATAACACTCTAGTTACTCAAGTTTCCAAACAACGAAAAGGTATAAAACAGTCTTTAAAAAAATCCACATTCTAAAACAAGCCTTTTGTTTCCACAGATTAAGTCTACTTTTCAAGCTAAAACGATAAAGTAAAAAAGTGTATTTTGTAGTAATAACAATCTACCATTGGCTGAGGACCTATTAAAATATTCCACCATAGAAGTGGGTGCTATCATCCCCATTTCACAGCTGAGTAATGTACAACCAGTTAGAGGAAAGAGACTGAATTCAAATCCAGATCTCTCTTACACCAAAGCATGTAAGGGAAGTTAGAACACATCCAAACAGCTCATACAAATGCCCTAGGGTTGGCACCAAATAATTAAGCCCATAGCAGAACCTTACAGGCACTGGTAAAATATATGCTCTAGAAGATACCAAAGGGTAGGTAAGAATATAAATTAGACAAAGAATAGAAGCTTTTGCTACTTAGGGAAACCTAAGTCTCCTGTTTGCCTCAGCCAACTTTTAAAGCCCACTTCAAGGATCAAAATACGCTGACAAAGACTAGAAACAGTCCAAAGGTCTATCAAGAGAGGACTGGGTAAATTAACTATAAAACATCCACATAATAGAATGTTACACCACCATACATTAAGTAAAATAAGGCAAAGCACCAGGTAGTATGTAGCATATTACATTTTGAGTAAGGAAGAGAAAGGCAAATACAAAACAACAAAAAGAAACGCTGAAAGAATAAACAAACAAAAAGCTAAAAAAACTAACACATGGAGATAAATGGAGAAAAGACTGAAGTTGTCAAGGATTTCATTTTACTTGGATCCATAATCAACACTGATGCAAGCAGCAGTCAAGAAATGAAAAAACACACTGCACTGGGCAAATCTGCTGCAAAAGACCTCTTTGAAGTGTTAAAAAGCAAAGATGTCACCTTGAAGACCGAGGTGCTCCTGATCCAAGCCATGGTGTTTTCAATCGCCTCATATGCTTGCAAAAGCTGGGCAATGGATAAGGAATACCAAAGAAGAACTGACGCCTTTGAATTAAGGTGCTGGCGAAAAAAATTGAATATACCATGGACTGCCAAAAGAACGAACAAATCTGTCTTGGAAGAAGTACAGCCAGAACGCTCCTTGGAAGCGAGGATGGTGAGACTTCATCTCACATACTTTGGACATGTTATCAGGAGGGACCAGCCCCTGGAGAAGGACATCATGCTTGGTAGAGGATCAGTGAAAAAGAGGAAGACCCTCGATGAGATGGATTGACAGTGGTTGCAACGATGGGCTCAAGCAAAACAATGATCATGAGGAAGGCACAGGACCAGGCAGTGTTTCATTCTGTTGTACACAGGGTTGCTATGAGTCAAAACCAATTTGACAGCACCTAACAACAACAACATAT